ATCATGTACTGGTAGTGGATAACTTGTATTTCTTCCTGTAGCTCTAATTGCAATGGCAAGACTAGCAGATACCACCACCTCATTATCAGACTCTGATTCAGTAGGGTTTGATATAATTTTATCCACAGTGTCAGTATATTGAACTGCAGATGATGCTTTAGTTTGTGGTGGTAAAGCTTTAGACCTAATAGAATTAGTTGTAGTTCCTGCAGTAGTAGTTGTAGTGTTTGGGAATTGTTGCTGTTTCTAAGGTGAAATGAGCTATGACATTTTACATATCAATGCTTTATACCTCATTAGCATTCAGTGATTTTGTTATCACTTCACTATCACCATGTGTAGCAGCATTAACTTCAGCAATAGTAGTATATGACATTGAGACATCATCACTTTGTTCTTTGTTACTTTCTATCACAAAAGTTGTCTGATGACAGGGAAAATAATGAAACCATACTGTAACAAAACTTACTTCAGTTTTTGAAAAAGTAGTATATGTACTATCACCATTCTAAAAATAGTACTAAAATGAAAAATATCAAAACATGATTCTTACCTCATTAACCTATAAAAGTATAAAAGTAAAAAGGTTATGAACAAAACTTGAAAAGAAATCAAAAATATTACCGTTGGTCGAATTTCTACACTGTATAATGCAGTACTAACAACAGGACTGCCTAATTCAAGGTCTAATGATTTCTGTGAAAGTGGTACTTTATAGTATTCTAAAAATATTAAATACATAATGTACCCAATTAAAAATTTTATAATAACTTTTAATCTTAATTTTCAAGTAAAGCCTAAGTGATAGTAGAGTCACGACAATAAGTAATGATAAGCCAACTAAAACCACAAACAGGAGAACGGTTATTATTAATGTAATACCTACAAAAATTTAATATAATTAAACTCTTTTGACTATAATTAAATGATTGGACAAGCAAGTATAAGTGTATGGAATAAATAAAAGCCAGTTACAACTAACTTATTCCTGGAGAGTCTTGTTCTGGTCCTGAAGTTGGTGTTACAGAAAGCTGTTGGAAGTGATGAACTAAAGTATGGATGAAGTGGAGGAGTTGTATCTGTTAATAGAAATTAAATACCAGTACTTTATAAAACATTAAACAACTGACCAAATGCTAGTATAAATGGTTCACTACTACCAGCCTCATTACTAAATACAACACTGAGAGTACACTGTTGATACTGAGGTACTGGTACTGATCCTGTTATATTATTTGGTTGTTTAGCATATTCCACTAGTGCAGTATCATCATATACAACACCAGTTCCATTACACTCTATAATAACTGTAGCATTCTCAGGAGCTTCACCAGTACACTCCAATGTAACCTAAAAATATCTATCAACTACTTTTTGAGATGGGACATTTCTTACTTGTGTATGATATTGCATAATAGCCATGTCTTGTGTATAATTTGATATCTCCAATGTAGTGTCTTGTACTACTAATCTGGGAACTATAAAAAAGTTTTCTCAAATTTGGTTTTCAGATCTTGTTTATATTTTAAAACATAATTATACTATTACTCATGTACATACCTCTTTGATATGAGAATGTATCATTATTAGATATTCCTTCTCCTAATTCATTAACTCCAGTTATAACATATGTATAACAATGACGAAATAAATTACTATCCACAAACTGATAACTGGTATCATATACTGCTACAGTAGTCACTAGACTATCAGTAATGTCATCATATATACTGAGATTATAATATACTGGCTCAATACCACACTGATAGTTAGGATCAGACCAAGTGACACCAATAGTAGAGCAACTGTCACTATATGAGTTAATGCTGACAGGTGGTCCTAGAAAGCCTAATAAAATAAAGGAGAAAAGGATAATGTAAAGCCAGCACCTTGATGCAAAATATTCTAGAACAGTATTGCAATATTGTAATTAAAACTCAGTACAATCCCCACACAATATATATGCCAGTAACAGGCTTAATGGAATATTGAAATGATGTACAAGTAAGCACTTAAATATTCTGTTACTTACCAGTATAGTCCAGGAACACATGAAAAGTATTTGAACAAGTTTCACTGCTGCCGCTAAAAATTTCTCTTAATCTTATTTGAAGGAGGTTTGTACGATTAAATCCATCGACATTGATTATCAATGGACTGCCCAATCTAGCAGTTATACCACAAAGTATGTCACTGTACTGAAAGTATTCCCATGAAACATGACTTCTTGCATTTCCACCAAAACTTGTGCTGTACTGATATATATAAAGAAAAACTTGGGATATTATATTGTTACACGATTCTGATACGTTAAATTTGATGGACAGTGTACTGCCATTACATAATCTAAAGTTTTGTATTTCTGTGATTTCAGAAGAGGGTGGGCAGGATAAAACTACAATTGGCCATTTATTTATACCATAGTCTATGTTTATACTTACTTGTTGCCCAAGTTAAAGTCAATAAGATTACTACAGCAGTTGATAACATAGTATCTCTCAGTTGTAGACAGTAAATACTCAGAAGAGCCTAGATCAGAGCAATATACGTGAGTAATAACATCAAGAGTAGAAAGAATTTGTTGATATGATAGTCGTAGACAATTACCTAATTCTAACGCCCATAAAACCACGCCTCTAAAAAAAACAAGATATATCTATACCCATTTTTTATTTTCCGCCGATGAAGCAAGTAGCAGCGCAGATCTGCAGTGCTTGACAAGGTATTGGTAGTGCTTGATTTGGAAGCAACAGTAGTGTAGTTGGTAGAGTAAGGAAAAATGCTATTGCTGGTCAATGAGGCAGTAGTGATAGCACTGACTGTTTGACAAAGTAGTCTATTGGTAGTGCTTGATAAGGTAGTGTAATGTAAACTGGTTGAGAGGTCAAACAGGCATTGACATTGTTATTGTGGTGAAGAAAATGAATCAGTACAACAGATACTGTTACTATATTTTACAGTGTTACTGTCATTGCTGAGGCTATCGGTAGACTCACTGGCAACATTCAATTGTACTGCACATTCAATTGGTTCTTATTAACAGACTACCAGAACATGACTATAACTCAGGCAGAGGGATCACCACTTACGATACAGTACTGGAGAGCCTTCTAGCAGTATTTTTCTTTATCATATCAGTCTGTGCTACTTCTTTTGGCTCAGGTGAATGAAACAAGTAGAGTATATCATTGGAAAGTATACATTAAAATTAATAATTATTATGCATCCCATTTCAATCCAAACTAAAGGCCTTTCTACACTAGCACTTCTAATGTGCATTGAACCAGATTAACTGAATTGGGTCATTGCTTCAATGTGCATTGCTTTAACCCACTTCCATATATGGTTTGAATGTACATTGAATAGAAAGCTGATGACAGAAATGCTATCAAAATACAAAAGATTTAATCATCATTTAATATACAAATTATCAATAATTAAAGACAGATATACTGTCAATATAGTAAACTAAAAAATATTGAAATAATTATAAAAATAATTAGACCAATATACCAACCATTAAATTCAAAAGCAAGATGTTAAAAACTTTTCTAAAGGATAGTCGAATCATCAAAAGGTTCAGATTGGAAGTCTGTAAAATAGTAAAATATAATCTAGTATCTTAAATTCTTACCTTTGTTTTCTTCATTTATTTGAGGGTTAGGTTGGGCTATTTGCCTCAAAGATGGAATTTCTTGAGGTGAAGTTTGTGGCATAGGTAAAACAGGAACTAAAATATCCTTATAAAGAGTACCAGAAATAATAGCAGAAGCATGATCACCAGCAGTTGGCCGAGGTATAGAAATTGTTACAAATTGCCTTGGTAGCTGCTGGTCATTATCAGAAGTCTCTGTCTCACCAGTCACAATTGGCTCATCATAATATGCATTATACTCTGATTGATCAGCGTTAGGCTCTGGTACACTACTACATGTACTTGGATCAAGTAATTGACGCTTAAGATGATATGTATCCTAGAGATGTTGTCAAATAAATAAATATTAAATTAATTCTTACTTTATGATATTTATCTTTGGTTGGTTTCTTACTATCTCTAGCATTATCAGCACTTTCAATCTAATAAATCATAAATTATTATTATAAAAAATAATAACAATAATAGTTACTTCTTTATCATTTGACTTTGACTTAGTATTTTCCTATAAAATAAAAACAATAAATTTAAAGCATAATTTTAAAGTACAGTATATTAATTTACATCCTGTTTTCTAGGAGTCTGTTTCTCTATCATATCAGTCTGTGCTACTTCTTTTGGCTCAGGTACAGGATCCTGTGCTAGTGGTGTAGCAGTGTCAGCGTTATTTACCAATGCTTCCTATAAAATAAAAATTAAAAATATAAAACATAAAGTACGGTATATTAATTTACAGTTCTAACAATCCCTTGCTCCACAGAACCATCTCCCTGCTCCTGTCTTACAGCATTTTTCTTTGTTTTATCGCCCTGCACTACATCTTTTAGTTCTGCCAGTGCCAAAGGATTCTGTAACACTTCTTGTACTTCATCTTGCCCTTCACCATTCGGTACAACTTCTCCTTGACCTTGACCACCATATTGACCAGCAGCATTATCCAGTACTTGTACATGTACATCATTACCACCATCATGTGCTACATTTTCCTGTGTTATACCATTTTCATCTCTTTGTTTTGTAACTTTAATCAGTTTTATTGCAGCACCAATATCTAATAATAACACATTACATAATATGAATATATATAAGAATAAAGTACTAACTTTTTCCACAATTTACAACCACTCCTATTAACAATAGCACTAAAGTAACTACAACAACAAAGCAGCCACTAGCAATACCAATAATAGCTCCTGTTGTCACTATTAAAAGAGAATAGTAAATAATAAGTACATTATCTTCAATAGCTGTAATTTCTTATACATGTATGTGTACTATATACTAGTGTCATACATGTCTTTAAAATAACTAACTTGTTAAAGGGTCTGATGCTGGTCCTACGATCGGTGTTACAGAAACTGTTGGAGATGATGAGCTAGTGTATGTTGGTCCTGAAGTGGGTGTTATAGAAACTATAGGAAGTGATGAAGTAACATATGGAGGACGAGGAGGAGTTGTATCTGTTAATATATAAATAATTTAAAATACCGATACTCAATAACTTACCAATTGTTAGTATAAATGGTTCACTACTACCAGCCTCATTACTAAATGTTACTCTGAGGTTACACTGTAGATACTGAGGCACTGATATTAATCCTGTTATATTTCTAGGTTTTTTTTCATATTTTACTTCTGTAGTATTATCATATACAACACCAGTTCCATTACACAGTATAGTAACTGTAGCATTTTCAGGAGCTTCACCAGTGCACTCAATTTCGACCTATACATGATTCAATTTATTTCAAAACACAGTTTTTTCTTACAGGTATATTGTATTCTATAGTTGCCATGTCTTGTGTATAATATATATCCAAGGTAGTGTGTTCTACAGCCGATTTGGGAACTACAAAATATTAAAAGGTTGCTCAAATTATTTCTGGACATTGTTTATTACATCAGCATAATTATATATGTACCTCTTTGATATGAGAATGTATCATTATTAGATATTCCTTCTCTTAATTCATTAACTCCAGTTATAACATATGTATAACGATGAATAAATAAATCATTATCTTCAAACTGATAACTGGTACCATCTACTGTTACAGTATCCACTAGACTACCAGTAATAGTATCATATATACTGACATTATAATATACTGGCTCAATACCACACTGGTAGTCAGGATCAGACCATGTGACATTAATAAAAGAGCAATTGTAACTATTGGAGTTAATATTGACTGGTGGCCCTAAAAAACCTAATGAGATAAAGGAGAAATGAACAGAATAAGGTATGTACATATGTCCTGATACATGTTCATCATGCAGCCTTGATACAAATGCATCAAACAAGTATTTACCCCAATGTAAACAAGGATCAAAAAGAGAGGGAGGGCTAGAGGGTATGGTTTGGAGATAAAGAAAGGGGAGAGAAAGCTCATGAATTTAGCTTGGGTGAAACCCCTTACTAGTGAAATTGATTGTAAGTCAAGCATGAAATGATCTGTGTAGCTACATGTACATGTGTACATACAAGCCCTTTACTTACCAGTATAATCCAGGAACAAATGAAAGTTATTCGAACAAATAATTATTACTTTATTAATAATAGTAACATCTCTTAGTCTTATTTGGAGGAGGCTTGTACGATTAAACTCTTCAATCCTCACTCGTTTGTTCAAAGTGGCATTCACACCACACAGTTCTTCGCTGTATTCAAAACCGGGCTGCTTTGGAACAGGTTTTGAATTTCCACCAGAGCTAGCATTGTGATGATATACATAAACATAGAGGTCCATAATATTATCACATGAGTCTGACACATTAAACAAGATGGATAAGTTGGAGTCATTACACAACCTAACGTCTGAGATATGAGTAATGTTGAAGGAGGAGGGAGAGCAGGATAATTGAGATAAAGCTAGATCTAGACATGATTAAGAAAAAAATTAGATTTTAGATTTGTGACCCACTATCACACTTACTTGTCGTCACAGTTAAAATTAATACAACTGCTAACATGATGTTCTGTTCAATCTGTACTATCAAGACTAGGCTATATCCACAGTTGGTTGGTAATAGATCTACCTCGGGCAATACTCAGCTCAGCAATAATTATTTTTGTAGAGAACGCCTACCAAACACGCCCCATAAATCTAGATCTAACTAGCTCGATCAGATGTTATTTGCACTAATTCAATCAAGAGATGTTACAGAAGCAACAGATGCTGTTACCATCATTTGCAGTGTTACTGCCATTGCTGAGGCTATCAGCATCAGTTCATGATGCAGGTAAAAGCACACACGAATATACTTTGCTGTCAGCTGTGTGCATGGGCCAATAATTCTTTGATTTCCTTCTTTCTATTATAGAATTTAAGATTCATCCTCACCCAGTAAACATAACACAAGGACTAACAGCAACATTCACTTGTACTGCTCACTCCATTGGCTCTTACTGGCTAGTGAATGACAGACTACCAGAGCATGACTATAACTCAGGCAGAGGGATCACCACTGATGATACAATACTGGAGAGTAGCACTAATCTCAAGGAACACTTACTGAAGATACCAGCAATACCACTGAATAATAATGTCACTATTCAGTGCTTCATCTTTAATGGACCTGCAATACCAAGTGATGTAGCAAGGCTATTGATACAAGGTCAGTTTTAGAGTAACAGCATGTACATGTACATGTACTTGTGTTGTGTAGAAAGTTTGAGCTGATTCCAATCAAAGTTGGATTTTTTGCAAATTTTAAAAGTTGCTCCAAAATCTAGTTAAAGACCATGGGCTATAGTATAGGGTATTTCATCAAAAATGGCTCCAAAAGATTTCTCAATTTTTATAATTTTTTTGGTACATATACATGTTTTTATGCTGCTTTTCAAGTTTGAGCTGATTCCCATTATATTTGGATTTTTTATGAATTTTTAAAGTTGCTCCAAAATTGGGCCAAAGTCCCTGTACTATAGTACAGGGACTTTGGCCAAATTTTGCCAAAAATGAAAAGGTGAGAATTTTTCATTTTTATAATTTTTCCTGATACATATACATGTACTTATGTTGTGTAGAAAGTTTGAGCCGATTCCGATCAAGTTTGGATTTTTTTACAAATTTTAAAAGTTGCTATCAAAAACCTTGAAAAAAATGACTCTGAGAGAATTCTCCATTACAAAAATTGAAACAATAGATGGACACTAATATTCCCCACAATGAAACAGAGTATAATGGAGTGTTACTAATGTATCTAATAATGTGTAAATGAGAGAAGCTATGTAGACCACCTGTCCTTAGAGTGTGAAGTGACTCTATTGTCATTCATTCACTCAGCAGGTGATGATTGGAGGGTTAGACCGTACACAAATGAAACGTTTCCATTCACAATATTGCAAACAACAGGCACACAAACTAGTTTTAGTTTCTATATAATTTGAATGATCTCACTAGTTGAAAACATCATTAAAATATGCTTTCACACTTACACTGTCTACTACACTACAATAAAT